CCCCTTGAGCTCTGCTGCCTCCCTTTTATACAGCTGTATTGCCGCAGTGCCAGGAGAGAGGAGCAGATTACAAGCCCTGGCTTCATCTCTGCCTTGCAAACTCCTGTTTATGTATAAAACAACATATGCGGTTTCATACGCTGCCAGAAAATCACGGTTGGGGAAAAAAAGGGCACAAGAACTTTATCTGCTAGTCAGTTTGAAAAATAACTTAAATTCTCATTTAATGAATTGATTCCTACAGTTCATTAACATACCCACTTCCACTTCTGTATACACATATGTCTTAATTAGCTGCTCATTGGCTGTTTAATTACAAGAAAACAGCTGACAGCTGCCTCGCTGCATCCTAATGGCAGCCGCCTTGGAATGCCGGTCCGCACGCCTGCGACAACAAAGCCTTATTCATAACCCCCTGCTTCACGGCTAATACTTAGAGCCCTCCGCGCATCGTTAAGTTTTGCAGTATTCTCAGCAATTAACAATTAGTTGGGGGGGGGGAGGGCTCATTCTTCTCCTTTTTCCTAAAGCAAACTCTCTCAAATTTTCTTCAAAGAAACATCGGAAAAATGCATTGTCCTATGTAAGAAATTAAAATATTCAAATCAGACTCTTAACTCGTTTATGACAACGAGCACATTTTAATTTTACAGAGAGAAGAGCGCTGAGGTAATATTTGTTAATGAACTTTGCTCATAAAGTATTTGATGACAAAGGCGTAGCGCCACAGAAACATGCAAAAATCCCTGTTGTTTTCCATATGTAATAAATACAGGAGAGAGATTTGCCGTCCGTCTGTCAGGTTTTACGAGGCTCCTTCCTAGCCTTTTGGTAACACGGCTCATCTCTTTTCTGTCACGTGTTGCTTAAAATTGGTTAGCCAGAAAATAATTAAAAAAAAAAACCCTTTGCAAGGATGAACTGGAAGCAAATATCCACAGAGCCAGTGTCACTCCGAATTAAACAAAAAGTAATGAAAGATTGAGTAACAAAGCAACTGGATGTACACACAGTCTAAATTTAAAAAGTAATGCAAGACGGGAAAGGACTATACCAAGCATTGTTTTCTGAAGTGACAACAGAGCCATTCCCATCGTATTTACAACAAACAAGACAATCTTCAGTCTAACAAGCACAGAAGACAGAGCAGCCGGTACCTACCACCCTCTGAAGTACAGGAAACGCCCAGAAATGTCCGGCATGAATGGGTTTATGAGACCAGCTGCATACATTCAAGTAAAAAGGGTGGCCATACCAATACATTTGTGGGGCAAAGGGGCATGAACTGACGCTGTTGACAGCAAAAGCACATAGTTACACCTGTAAATTTAACAACATAGTTCAATAACAGAAACTTTCATTTCAAACTAAATGCTTTGCTGTATGTCCTTATGAAGCAATTCAGGTATTTTCTGACAATAATTTCTCCTGGTAGGGCCAAAGCTGGAGTTGATGCCTGTTAAAAAAATCTGTCTAGCAGATTTTAGAGAGGGGCCTCCCTGTCTGGGGAGGGAACTGAACATTTGGCTAAGTCTTAATGGACTAACCTCATCTTCCCTTCTCCCCTATCACACGTCGTATACTGGATGTCAGCAACAGTCAGAGAAAGTACTGGTTTAAATGTATTTTATTTAAATTAAGCCATAAAACCCCTCTTAGATAAAGTATGAACAAGTGCTTAGCTATAAACTTCATTCTTTGGGTAGGTGAAAAAAGGGGAGGGAGATTTTAAAGAGAAATTCAAATTCAGATAAATAGGTTGATGGGTTGGGAGTGCTCAGTGATGTTTGTGCAAGACAAATCTGAATTTCTACATTTTAAAAGACACTAACATCATAACAAGGTAGGAAATGAAAGCTTCTTGAGAAAGACTAATTGGCTTTATTAGATAACTTCAATTCTTGCATGTGAAATACAATACAGCAGTAAAAACGGGTCAGAAAGCTCCACTAAACTGTATGAAACGTAAGGATCACAACACTGTAGCAGGACAATAAGATCAACAAAAATCAGTTTGACCATTACTTCTCCATAATTACATATGAGATACAGATTTGTTTTGCTTTAGGTTTTAAATAAATGACGTTTCCAGTGGCTATTAGCATGTAAACAGTAACACTTGAGTAAGTATTACGATAAAGTAATGTTACAGTTCCTACTGAAGTGGAGTGAGAACCGGTAAGAGCTGCAAGCAGCACCCTTGGCTGCTGCTAGCGCTGCCCGTAGATCATTGCTGACAGCCCGGGCTGGGGCGGCCGCAGCCCAGCTGTTCCCTCCTGGTGACGGAGGCCCCGCTCCTGCTGCCGGATGCACATGGCTGGGCTGGCAGCAGCTGTGCTGAACCCAACTCACCTCCTGGGGTCTTTGTGTTGGTGTGAGCCATTAGCCCGCCCATGAATCTGAACGCAGGACTGGGAACTAAGCCTTCATAGCGAGAAAAATTTGAAGTACTTTATACAGAAGAAGGTTTAGCATACCATGAAGAGTGCTGTAAGCATGCTCAAACCTGCAGAGATCATAGCCACAGAAAAGCTAGGAAATGCACTTCAGGGGAAAGAAAAAAAAAAAAACATACCAATACACACCTGGCTTATTTGGCAGAAGCCAAGTTATGCCAGCTTTTCCACCAGCCAAAATAGTTCTGCTGGGTGAGACTTTGTTGATATTACTGTGGAAGAGCATAGCACAAACAAAATCCATCTGCTACAGCACAGTATTTTAAATGCTCTCTAGGCCATGATCATCTCTTCCTGAGACTTGTCCCCACTAGCACTCCCCTATCTGTCACTACCTACAGGTCATCTGGGCTCTAGCATTAAAGAAATGTGAAGTTCAGGCTCATTTCTCTCCTAAAATGGAAATAACTAAGCTGATATTCACTGGCTTTAAAATTCTGCCTGAACTCATACAGCTAAAACATTGTTCAGGTCTTGCTACTCCACAGGAGGAGGAGAATATACCTAACTCCATCGTTTGGGCCACCACTTGATTTATTCATGTGCACTCTGCTTTCAAGGCTGACCTGTGCTCGAGTGCGCCGGGCATCTGGCCCCGCTTGCCAGCCCTCATGCCCTTGCACACCCGCTGCCCAGTCTGGGCGATTCCCCAGGGCAGACCAAGGCTCACACTGGTTTCTGGAGAACACCATTCTAGAGAGTTCATAGGGAAACCATTTGCTCTGAAATAGGGGACTGCATACGCGTTTCTCACTATCAGGCTACCATCTGCTGTTCTGACTACCGGAGGTATAAAAAGGATCTGCCTCTTAATAATTCATATTTATGTTTATTCCCAGCAAAGCACACTCAGTCCGATGGAGGAATTCTCAGTGGATATTTCTGTCTCTTACCTGTAGTGCCAAGTCTCTACCCAGCTATGTATTAACTAATGTGACTGTGAATATGGTTCACTCTGTTATTTCTTTCTGTACGTAGTCATCCTAATGCTTTTGTTGGGGGGTTTTCCTCACGTACAAGACTTACTAGACTGTAAGGTAAAAGAAATGCATGAAGATGAAGTAAAAGATAATATACTTGGCAACTTTCCTTTGCTTTGGCAGACTGTTCCTGTTCTGCAGCAAGCCGTGTTAAGAAAGCCCCGTTTTCTGCATAGACAAGCTTTGGCATTATCCTAGCCTCAGTCTCTTGACAATGACGTTCATCAAGAATCTGGAGGCAGTCTTTCAGGTATACTGGGCCCAGATCATCGAAGGATTAAAGAGGTCTCAGACCTTGACTATCAATTGATGTTTGTAGATAAGGTATTTGTAGAGCAGAATTGCCAGTGTTAATGTCTGCCACTTCACAAGAATGAAGTTTGATAAATGTTCAGCTACTGCAAAAAACCCAAAAAAGCCACCACTTTATTATCAATACTTTTTTAGTGGATTTCTTGCCTTTTCCATAGCAACAGTAGAGTTACAAATGGGCAGGGGGTGCAGCCCTGTATCATTCTAACATTTTTTCCTCCTTCGTACCAATACTTACTTCCGTGAGACTGAGAAGATTTGAGAATGGAAACGCAAAAATCCTCTTTGGAAAAACACAAAGGAAATCTTGATAATATGAAGGCAAAGAAGCTACTTTTGAAAATGGAAGGCAGTACCAAGCATGTCAGGATAGCGGACTGAAAACAACAATAAAAATAATTTCTTCAATTCTGAAGTGCAAATCAGCAGTAGAAAATCTATCAGTCCTGGACTGCAACACGCTTACATGCGAAAAGCAACAAGCTACAGCACAGATGTGCAAACTGTGTCATTCCCAAGCTAGCACTGTAATTCTGTACTAGTGATAAAAAGGAGTGATTAGCTTCACAGCACACCTTGGACTAGCGTTAGCATTGTCTGATTTAATTCTCAGTTGTGAGAGACAAACTAAATGAAACATTGAGGCTCATAATGTAATCCTTGCTCACCAGTGTTACTGAAGGTACGAATCCAGAAAAAAATTCAAAGCCTCAACTTTCCAGAGCACTGAGCGACACTGCAAGGAAAAGGCACTACTCATGGGAAGACTTGAACAGGTTTAACACCAGTACCGTGCTCATGTGTGCAACAATATCTTCTACAGCTATACCTATACCTTCTATATCATCTAAATAAAATAGATGTGTAACGGTAGCCGTTGACGAACGAAAGTTGAGAAGTCTGAGAGTACTCACCTTATTTCAACATAGCTTCTTAGCAACTTACAAAATACAAAATGGAGAGGGAGAATCAAGAAAGCCACAGATTCCCTCTCCAGTGAATCCACAGATCAGATTCTTGGGACATGCTGTAAATGGTTCATCTTTCTATACCTCTTCTGCTTATTCACAGTGAGACAGTATACAGCACACACAGCACATGTTTAAAGCCTGTCCTAAAAGCCTTGGGGAGGGGGGAAAAGGGAGGGCGGTGTCAAAAAAATGCTCTGTTGAAAACCCAGTAAAGACAGTACTTTAGAATTGCCAACTGATTTCATAATCTACTGATTTCACTTCCGTGCAATATTTGCTTTTTAAAAAACAAAGGAAGGAAAAGAATCACTACCAAAAGGCCAAATGCAGATGTTTAAGACTTAATTTTTTAGAAGCTTACCTTGCAGCCTTCACATGTAATGACACCATAATGGATTCCTGATGATTTGTCTCCACAGATCTTGCATGGAATAATTTCAATTTGAGCTGCAACAGAAGCACACAACCAGTTAATTACATTTTCTTTTAAACACCTTATAAAAGCATTCCCTGATCAGCATTTGTACAGTGAAAACTAATAACCTGCTAAACATTATACTGCATTAACTATTCATTGCTGAACTGCGAGGGTCCCCTAGAGCTTTGGACTAAATTATGGCTCCTCGTTATATAATAGCTTTTGGGTTATTAAAATGGGTCATTTGAGAAGGTGTTTAAGAACTCGCAAGAAGGCTAGAATCAGCATTTCAAAGCCAAAAGAATAGGAGAGTTCACATTTTGGCCAAAGAGCTAAAAAGACACCAAAAAGGTTTCTTCCAAACTTACTCCTGCGATATAATAAAAAGGTCATTTTAAAGTTTACCCTGCCTAAAAATGCAAGCTAAATGAATGCAACACCTTAAACAGAGGGTTCACGCTCATGCCATCCAGTCCACACGACAGGCCAATATGAAAGAGATGTAAATACTATTTTACACAAGAAATCTAAGGTTCACATCTCTAAATTGTAAGCAAATTATCAGTATATATTTGTTCATTAGTTCCCACAGACTGAATGAGGGAGGAAAACACAGCTGTATTGTACTCAGCTTACAAAAAATAAAAGAGAAAACAGATTCTGGAAAATGCCATAAAGATATGCACCCTGAAAGCACCGGCCTTTTTTTTTTTTTTTTTTTTTAATTGAACTTCATGGGTATATTACATGTATCTATTTAATTCAGTTTACTATGTGACAAAATTCTCTGCATGCATCTCTAAACCATAGTGTCTTCCCACGTGAATACCTGGGTTTAATAAGGACTCCCACATGCTCAGGAATATCTCTTCAACTGCTATTTGAGTATGTGGCTGCTGTCATTTTGCTAGCAAAGTCTCTTTTCAGACAGAACCAAGCAGAGGCAATGCTTTACAATACCAAAGACAGGTAGTCAACCTTTTACATGTTCCCATATGTATACTTGCATGTGCTCACACAAACACACAGAGTCTACATACGAGATAGATAACAAAAAAATGCAAAGAATGCACTCTCTCACCAATTTGTCTTAGGCCGTTTTGTTAGATCGGGTTACCTTAATTTTCCTTCCCTATCCTGATTTGGATTATTCTGAACAGGAGTACAAGTACAACTCTTGCTGTGTCTCTTACTGTGATTTATTCACAATCAGAAGTGAAGTTAATCTCCTGCGAGGAACTTAAATCCATTCACAAGATGCCCAATTGCTTCAGAGAGCTTTTATTTCATCCAGTTTATGGCTGTCCAGACTGTGACAACACACAAAATTGTATCTAATACCTTCTTATAAGGCATTAGTGTAGCTTTGGTTGTATTCTCAACAAGGTTTTCAAAAAGTCATGTCCACTCTCTCTTACAAACACTCTATTTTACATGCCATTAAACACCTAAGCAACTGCCTGTGATTAAAACAAGAGTCATCTCCTCCTGTTACTGTGTGCTCTGTTTCACTGTAGCACACCACCACAGTTCAGGATCAGGCCAACACTGTAAGACCATGAAACTTGAAATGACTGAGCAAAAACACGATTTCCAAACATTCTCCAGACCACGTCAAATGCAGCAAACAGAGCAGCCCCGAACAGTTCCCATTTGCTCCCAGGACTCTCACAGCAGTGAAAACGCTCTGCTGAAGAGAGCAGTACCCAGCAGCTAAATGACTACATTGCTGCTTTCCTGACATTTCCGTATCAGCAGTTTTCAAAGTGTTTGCGTACAGGAGGACACCACTTGCAACTGATTCCATCAGGAGGAGCTCTGCAGTCTTGATATTTAATCCCATACCTTCCCTGCAGCAACAAAACGATAGGCTGAAATTGAAGGGTCAGTTTAGGATGCTTACGGAAACAAATACTTTTTCCCTGCAGTCCTCCAAAAAGTGTTTGAATTTCACTTTGCTCTCAACTAACACATTTAACATAATAGAAGTGAAATAATAAAAGGGAAAAATAAAGTGTATGTTATTTTATTAATGTACTACCTGCATTAATTATTACTACAGCATCTAAGTACCTCCCTTGTTTATGAACAAAGCTTCAAAGCAGGTAGCATGAGCCCCACTTTACATTAATAAATTGAAGAACAGATTGAAATTCACGGAAATCCAAAACTTGTGTAATTTAAAGTCCAAATTCACACAGAAATCTTGTAGACAGATTCAGGAATACATCCATCAATTCTCAGTTATGCCTCTTCAATATACAATTATTTTTCTACTCTGCTAGGGTGAATCACCAGCCTCCTCCAACTCCTTCAACAGGTTAGCGATAAGACTCATCTGAACAGCTACATGGCAATATATTTTTCACATTTCACTTTTATGCACATAATTACTGCCTTATTATGTACAGGTATGATATAATTGGATCTTGTTTATCTACAATCTTCAGCATATTAGTTAAATCACCCATGAAGCCTGTCTCTGCAACCTTTGCTTCTTAAGCAACAGGGCATCTGCAGAGTGTTTCTGGAGGAATGTAACATGCCTTCAAAGTGATGGCCTGGAGCTAGGTTACTAATAGTCTAAAAGGTGCAATAATTAGTCCCAAATGCATTTTCCAGGGTGCGTTATTGTTATAACAAAACAGAATCTACACAGAAACAGGCTCTAGCTATGCCAGCATTTGTGGATCACTGTATATATAAGTAGTGGCACCAAATTAGGTATAATTTTAGAACTCCAGATTTCCTAGAATTTAATACATCTTCAAGGCACTTACTTTCAATTAGTGCACAGCATTTAATACTTTAACTTAACATTTCACTTTTGAGATGCATTACAGTGGGATGAAACTCAGAAGCATAAATTGCTTGGGAATGCCACAGCCAATTGTATTATAAAATAATGCATGGAGAGACATCAGATCAATTACTGCTCTATGTGGTTGCCTTTGCAAATCAGCTCATTGAAATGGAATCACTGTCGCAAGTTCATACACTTTCCATATGGCATGAAAGGACTTAAGATACTTTACATTTACTAAATGCAAATTGCCTGTACCAAGATTATGCATTTTTCTTACAAGGGTGAAAATATTTTCCCTACTTTTAACTTTGACATGCAAATATGTACTTGCTAAAACCTTGTTCTTAGGCAAACAAGACAGGTGGGAAATATTTTTACATGTCACGAATATGATTCCAGCTTGGTTTCTCACATTCCCAGAGTTACTTAAAGCTTCCTATCGTGTTCACATTAATTGTACCTGTTCTGTGCTGACATATATTTGTAGAGTATTTTTTCCAAGATTATATAAAATACTGTAATTCATGCTTTAGACTAGAATTAGACTAAATTACAGTTTACAATTTCTGTCTTCTGGGGTGGTGTTCAGGCTGATTCTGGTTCATGCATGAACAAATTATTTCTTAAATATGAATCAAATAAAAAATAAACTCTTGTGGTTGCTTAGAAACCGCTACAGATATGCAGGTGACAGATGTAGCTTGTAGTTCCAGATTAAACGCCTGAGAATCTCTCAAACCCTGAAATAACAGTGCTCCAGAATACTACTGCGGGTGTCCTATGCCAAAGGCAGCAAGGGATAGGAATAAAAGCCCAAGCAAACCTCCAAGAGTAACAAATGCAGGCTCCAGCGCAAAGATCCACCTCAAGCATTGAACAAGTCACTACAGAAATATCTCCTGTGAGAAAGAATTGACCAACAAAGGCCAGAGGTCATTATGAGCCGATGTCAAACCTGAGACAAACTAATCTCCATGGGACAGGGCATCTGACTGTTACGCACTAAGGGCTCTCCGTATTTGGGTTTTAAGAGGCAGCTGTTAAGCACTGCAATGTCTGGTAGTCTTCAAGAAACGTATCTTCTTTGTGCCTTAATGCTGTATTATCTCCATTTTACAGGAGAAAAAATGAGTGCAGAATCTTTGATTTGCTCAAAATCACACAGAACAGGAACTTGAGCCCAGGTAAAAACTCGTGTTCTGTGCACTGACCCTTTCTTCTCCCTCCATCCAGTGTGTCTTTATTTGACAGTTTTCTTCAGTAGCTCTGGCACGCTTAAATGACACGACTGTCTCCACCTAATTCCTACTGTACTTGCCTACCAGACAACAAGAAAGAGCGTAAAACGACATCTTCTGTTGGCATCCCCAACAGGAGGATCATCCCTTATTCCCTCCTACTCCAGGCTTCATTTCTTTCCCCAAATCTGGAACAGTTTCCCTGGGCTTGCCTGCCTCTGTCACCACTTCTCCCCAACCCAAACCTTCCACACAGACTCTACCTTTTTACTAATTCCCACATCATGAAATGCTGCTCTATTCCTTGTCTGGTTTGAGCGGTAGAGGAGAAAAGTAATCCAATTCTGTATTTGTAAGAAAAGGCTCTGTATGAGCTCATTACAAGCGTTAACTTTCTTCATTTCTACTTCCTTAGGCAGAGATTCTAGCCAGGACAAGGCCCAGGACAAGGCCCAGTGCAGTCAGATAAAGCAAGGGGCCATCTTTATCCCCAATTTTTACATTTAAGTAGAAATCAATTGAGCTTCCACACAGAAAAGCTTATTAGCAGTGCACCCTGATGAAAACATTTTTCAAAAGAAAAAAGGATTTTCCACAGAGGAAAAATTTTTTCTTTCTCAATAATGTGTTTGAGTGAAATGTTCATTTCTAATGAAATAATGTCTCTTGAGGTAAAAATAAATAAATATTCCCCCCCCCTCATGTTTTCATGTTGTTATTTTAAAAATGTAAGTTTACACATATTGTGTTATTTTTTTCCCATTTGCAATAGGTGAGAAACCTCCAAGTTTTGATATCCTGGGAAGGGTTCCTCAATGGAAGCAAACATTTGTCCCATTCCTGTGCTTTAGATGAGACTCACCTAGCCGACTTCAGCTATCTGAAAGTTGGGTATTTAGTAGAAGTTAATTGTCCTGTCTGCATCTCCAGTGGAAGGAGGAAGGAAGAAGGCAGACAGACGAGCAGTTCCAGAGCATGTTTCAGC